TCGTTACATGCATGCTGTCCTTTGCATCATGAACTGATGTATTTTGTAAACAAAGTTGAGATGGTACGTCACCTTGTGGCGTACCAAAACTGTCGTATGTGTCACTATACATGGTGCAGCCAGTACGTACGCGTACATTGTACTAGTAGGTATCCAATTGTATCTCGAGCTTTGAATTTCTTATTACATCCACAGCATTGATGCCTGACTGTAGTGTGGCATGAATGAGTATCCTGACTCGTCTACTTCTCTGCCTGCAGTACTAGTGAATGTCTTGATGCTGACACCATATAGCACCTGTTGGAATCACAAAGCATGGCACAGAAGCACACAGCAAGGCTCAGGGGTGAGATTTGACAGGATTTTTTCCTGATTTCAGGGTTTTATAAATGATCTCTTTCAAAATGTGAAGAAACCTGAGCTTAGGCGTGAGGTCAAAATACAGACGGTTTAGAAAGAGTTCAACGGTTGGTGTGAATCCCCCTTCATTCCGTTCGTCTTTTGGTGTTGAACAGTTCAACAGTTTGAAAAGAACCATCTGCCCTGGACTGTCTAGCTTCACCAGCAACCCTGACAACAATGGAGTTTGTGGCCTACACAGCCATTATTGTGAACAAAAGATCCTATTCATTGGCCCCGGTCAGCCTTCCTGGGCTGGCCGTAAGGATTAGTGGTTAACACCTTGTGAAACGCAAAATCAACTGCATTCTAGGCTACAGACATTTCTGTAGCTTCAGAAACGTTTTGACTGGGTACTTCATGACAAAAAGACATCGCCACAAGATCGTCCTTCGTCTTTAAGCATTTTTTAGACTGGAAAATAAATACGTTTTTATGGGAGTGACGGGACGTGCCAAACACGGTTGCCTCATTTGCCTCATTTTACCGCCTGATCTATCATCTCTGAAAAGGAAATATTCACAGAGGCACAATATGAATTGTTTTTGAAATTCAGTCATGTGTACCATATTTTTTTAAAGTAATAAAAAAGTCAAGCTCCGCATCAAATAGTGCTGCAAGTATGTGTCAAGATTCGGTTCGGTTCAGACAGGGCTCGGACATTTTTTGCCTAACTTTGGATTGGTTGGGGTTCGGACATGTACACACGTGTACACGTACAATGCACAGTGAGACATCGAATTTAGGCTCGCTACGATCGTGCTGCAAAGGCCTATATAGTATTTCTGTGTATAAAAATATGAATCTCCTATCTCTCCCATCCACGAGCAACTTTGATTTGAATACTTTTTCATTCTAAACTGTTTCCCCAGAGTGTGTCTATGAGTACATTCCATATAAAGTTACTGCCGGAGGTGTGACAGTTTCTGACCGTGTTTTGCCGACCAGAAGCGGTTGTGTTCGGACCACATTTGACTCAACAAAACGATTTTAAGATATGTGCAAATAGAAAAAAACAGCATGCTCAATTAGGATTTTCCTATTCAGTACAGATTACAAGATCGAGTGAAAATGGCTTTTGTTGCATATCTCAGGAGGAATCTTTCCAAGGACGGCGTGCATGTGACCAAAGGGGTGATTTTCCATCAGCCTCTTCTGGAGGAAAAACAGTCCCAGTTTGTGCACATGGGCAAAAAAAAGAGGTTTTATCTAGAACTACATGTTGGTGAACAGAACACTACTTGTAAGATTCAGGTAAACACTATTTCCAGTTAGTATATTTGATTCTGCAGGTGTAGAGTTAGGTGAAACCTGAAAAGACCTGGTCTTGAAACCGACAGCGCAGATATTTCACACTTTACTAGCAATTTGAACACGACTACTCAACACACATGTTTTATCAGGAAGTTAAAACAGTCTGCCGATCTAAATCCTCCTGCGAAGCTGCAAAGTAAAGAGCTATTGTTATGACTCATCCACCAGACTTCAGAAGTCCATGATGCCGTAATGCGATGAGCTGTCCATTGTTTACTGGAAGCTGCAGAGTGCATGGTGTACTCAACCACTAATGGTTTGGCCAGCCTCGCTAAAGCATTCGTCTGTTCGATGTTCGAAGCATTTGTATTTTTACCTCACGCCTTACCATTATTGTGTTTTTGTACCTATGAGAGTTGATATAGAACACAAGAAATGGGTGTTTGAAAGGGATGCCTTAACCCTATTACTGAAAGCTACAAAATACTACTACACGTAGCAAACAGCGCTGTGGCTTGTATGAGAACATGACCTTGTTGTTCTCTGAAGCCATCAATACAATTACTAAGACAATGTACCATTCAGTGTAGTGACACTATGAATGCACAACTTTATTGTTCTCTAACAATGGAAGTGTCCCATGCTGCAGCGCGGCACTTAAAACCTCTGTTGATTATTCTGGGGATGTTTTCAGTTTTCTCCAATTTCTCCATTGAAGTTGCATGTAGATAGGGTGAGAATTGGCACTTTTACGAGACATGGAAGAAGTTGCAGGCAGGAAACCTGCATGGAGATGGGAAAAAGGAAGTTTTGCATTCCTTGGAAAATGAATACTCAACATTTGTTGTGAAATGGTATGATTGTGTGTTCAGCTTTCCAGCATGGGCTGTGGTTATACCCTCATGTTGACCCACGTTTCCTGGCTCTCTGAGCACACCTTCCCCCTTAATCATGTTCAGCTTACCAGCATGATCCTTGGTTAGACCCTCATGTTGACCCCTGTTCACTGGCTCTCTCTGCACACCTTCCCCCTAATCATGTTCAGCTTACCAGCATGATCCTTGGTGAGACCCTCATGTTGACCCCTGTTCACTGGCTCTCTGAGCACACCTTCCCCCTAATCATGTTCAGCTTTCCAGCATGGTCCATGGTAAGACCCTCATGTTGACCCCCGTTCACTGGCTCTCTCTGCACACCTTCCCCCT